TTCCTCTCATGCTGTCACTCTTCCATGTTAAACAATCTCACTGCTATTGTATTCATCTCAAACCTATTTATCTATAAAATAATTGATCATATTAGATCTTAGAGCAACTGAGATTCAGTACTGAGGTTTTCTGGAAACTAGTTCAGCATCTGTGTTTGTGCCTAAAGATGTAGCTTCAGTTGGGCTACATGGTAATACATGGTAATAGCTCATTTTTCTACTGCTTATGACATATTTATCCAAAAACTCCCATCTAAATCACTAGTTATTTTCTAATCCAATAGTTTTGCCTTCATGCCTTCTTGAACCCTCTTAAAGCAAGTACTTATACTTGTATTTTCCCCAAATAATACTCATAAATACAAGTTTTAAATTTCAGTCATTATTACTTGATTTCTCAAAAAGATAGGTCAATTGAAAATCCTCTCTTCTTTACTTCAGAACCTTTCTTTGACTTCCAAGTTACCCATAACACTCTCCTGGCTTCTAGTGGTTTCTTTGGCTCATCTTCTATCTCCTTATCTGGGTTCTCTTCCCGTTTTAAATTTATTTTAAATTCATTTTTATAATTATTTTCTATTTCCAGTTTCATACTTCAAATATCTGCAAGCAAGTCACTCTATTCAAGTTTTCAATTCAGGTTTCTTTCCTCAACTCTAGATGATATAGCGAGATAGATGATTGATAGATGATAGATAGATAGATGATATAGATGTATGTATGTGCGTGTGTTATATGTATATATCTGTGTATATATGTATATGATACCATTTCTTCATAGGATCAATTTTACTGTGAAAGGGGTTTTCTTTTTAGGTGGAGATATTTATATGCAATCTTTGGAAACTAACATACAAATAGAATGGTGTCCTTTATACACTTTCTATATTCCAGTCTGAAATATGAGCTCATTTTACTTCATAAAACACCACATTTCACCCTTACCTTCTGACATCACTAATGTCCTTTCATAAGTGGTGAACTCGGAAACATCCACTCTATCCAATGTTCCTAGACTGAAGAGCATCCTGCCCTTTGCCTGCATTGTTGAGAACATATACAAAAGTAGAGATGATGGAGTCTGGAGCCTAGCATTATTTGTATTACCTCTCTTGAGGTCAGAAAAGGTCTGCCTATAGAATAAATCTTTCTTGACCTTTGAGAGCTAGTTCCCAGAGTTACTCATTAGTGGATAATTTGTAATAAATTTCCATTGAGAAATTTGGCTGTTGCTTATTTGAGGATGAACTCACTAATTAAACATCTGTAAAATATTGAGAATGATTCAGATGTGAAATGAGATATTTAAAACTCATAGTCTATTTCTAGTCATTGATCTACCTCCTTGACTAAAGAAAACTTGAATGGTGTACATGTGACCAAAATATTTCCTGGTTTTAAAAAAGTACCACTCTAACTGATGTATGAGTTTTAAATTGTACTTTTCTAAATAAAGATAGATTCAAATATTTGTCCTACTCATTAATCATCTACACTTAGATTTTGACATAATTGCAAACCTAATTCTATCTAAATAAGAAATCTTGGACCATTCTCCAAATCATTTCTCATATTTTATCATATTTGATGATGAATTTCACAATTCATAAATAGCTCTCTGGTGTATCATCATTGAATCATATTTAACTAATAGGGACCACCAAGACATTATGTGAAATGAGAAAAAGTTCCTTTTTCTCTCTAGTAAAGACATCCAGAGGTTGGCAGCATAGAGAAGAGCTGGTGCATACCCAGATCATGTGTCTTCTGAGAACATACAAGCACCTGATGGTTACCATGAAGTTCCAGTAATTATCCTGTTTCTTCCATCCTCTTATGAAAATGACTGAGTTCAAAAATCAAATTGACCTGATCAGATTAACAGGAAGAAAATATGTAAATCTTATTTGATGCACATTTAACATGGCATGGGAGGAATCCTTAGAGAAGCAATGAACCATAGACACAGTGAGTTAGCTTCTTGGATACTAGGTTGGAAAGGAAAACAATGAGCTCTGTATATGCTACTGAATTATACAAAGAGTTTAAAATATTGGAAGATAGGCCAGTCCAAAGCTTTCTCGGAGGCCTTGGTGAAAGGACAAAGGGAACACTGGTTCTTGATCAGGGGCAGACTTGGCAAGGTCCAGTCTGGGGCTTGGGTCAGGGCCTTGAAGGACCTAGGATTCAGTTCCTGGAAATGTGACATTTTCCTCCAGGGAGAGCCATGGTTAACAGCCTCAAGGGTACTATATGTATGGTCTGTGATGTAACTGAGATATCCCGTGTTCTTTGTGCAATATTGTTTGATTAGCTTCTGCTGACTTTGTCCCATTATGTTATAGCTTTCTTCTGAGTGTCCATTTTTACCTTACAAGCAGTATATAAAATGGTATAATTCTTAATAAACTTACTTGGCATAAGCCATCAGCACATGAAATATCTCTTGACCCCAAACTTTCTTATCTTCTTTATTTTCCTCACCCCTGTTTCCCCCCTCCTCGGGAAACAATTCCTGAAGAAGGTCCTGCTGGTCCTCATAAAAGATAAGTTATTTTAACAGAATCAGTGATGAGTTATTTTATGCAAGGACAAGGTGTGACCATGACAGAGAAGCTTTTACAACTGTAATAATTAGACAATCTAAATTAGATGAACTACAACTCACTGAAGTTCCATCTTTTCTGCATGTAGATAAAATGAAAGTGAATAATTGAGAAGGGAGATAGATTGTCTTGTTATGTTCCTAGCTACAAGCAGCGTAGTTCACTTTAGATAACTGAGGCTGGTTATTATTTATTGTAAACAGACTTTTCTGTCCCACCAGCCAATTCCCAAACGACCACACAGAGACTTTTATTATTGATTACAAATGTTAGGCCAATACCTCAGGCTTGGTACTAGATAGCTCTTACAACCTAAACTAATCCACATTTCTTATCTATGCTCTGTTATGCCATGTGTCTTGGTACTTTTTCTCAGTATGGTAAGTTCATCTCTTGCTTCCTCTCCATCCCTTGCGACTCCTGAGATTGCTCCTCTCCTTTGCACTCTTTTTTGTGTTGCACTCTTTTTTTTGTGTGTGCCCATCCTAGCTAACCTCTACCTGTTAAGCTAATGGACAGTCAGCTTCTTAATTAAATCAGCCACAATGACATATATTTACACAGTGTAGAGGAATACTACACATTTATTTACTTATATCTGTCAGCTCATCAAATATTCTGGAAATATTAAACCAATCCGTTTTCTAGTTCTTTCCTCTCCACTGGTTTGTGGACTCGGGATTCCTCTTTCCACTCCCCATACAGATCTGTTCCTGTGATGTTAAACGGGATCTGTAATAACCTAGGGGGATTATTCAGCCTGGAGTCAATGAAAGTTAGTATCCTGAACTGGTTTTAAAAAATTGTTTTAATTTGGTTCACAGTTTCAGAGGATTTAGGACACCGTTTCTTAGTTCTGTCATTTCAGCAAAATATTATGACAGTAGGAGAGTGATGGAAGAAGTTCTTACCTCATGGTCACAGGGAGCAGAAAGAGGGCAGAATGGGAACTGGAGTGACTATCAAAGGCATATCTCTAGAAACTACAGTCTACCTCCCAAAGTTTCCACAGCCTTTCAAAACACAGCCATTACCCGAAAATTATGTATTGATGACAGTGGACTGATTTTTGACCTTCGAAAGCTCCAAGATGGTGCTTTTGCATTATGAAATGAATGTGAGATTTCAGGGGCTAAGATAGGATGTTATGGTTTAAGATGATGTGTTTGGTGTCATGTTTACAAGAGATAGGTTGTGATGTTTCATCTTTAGAAGTCTTACAGGCATCACTAGGAAATTCACAATCCCTCAGTGCCTGTCTCAGTCATTACCTTACACCTTCCACAAATAGTACCACACAGCTGCTCATTCTCCTCCTCCCAGAAGTTGATCTGCTCTTTCCAAATGTAACTGCCTTCTGCAGCACAGTCGGCACTTCTAACCACATATAACTGTATCTGTGAGTCGAAGCCAACCACAGTTTCTTTGATCCACCCTGACTTTCAGAGCTATCACTTAGTGAGTGGAGAATCCAAAGACCTCTGGAAGAATTTGGAGTTTGGAAATGGAAAAACACAGGGGCTTTTGCTTTCCCTGGCTGAAAGTTTTTACTCTAAGACTTCTCAAGGCAGACACCTCTATAAATATGAAATTAGGAAAACTTTTTAAATTTACCCGAACTCCACATCAAATTGAACTTTATATTTCTAGTTGGACAGCAATAGCTTTACATTAGAATCTTCAAAACTTTTAAATCATCATAATGTTATCACATTTCAGAGTGTAAAAGCAATGAACTTTATTGTGATTTCTTCATATGCATATATCATTATACTTTGTTCTTATCTGATCCATCCATTTGCAAGAATTAAGTTTTCTTGATCATAGATAGGCCCAATAACAAGGGCTGTATCCCCAGCAACTTAAGAGATTTACCAGGAAAATAGCAATTCAAAGCCTTCCTAGACCATAGTCAGTTCCAGGCCAGCCTGGAAATTTTTGTGAAACCCTATCTCAAAAAAAAAAGAGAGAAAAGAAAAGAAAAACAGAAAAGAGGGCTAGGGAGATAGTTCAGCATAAAGTATAGACATAGCATGTGTGAAGTATTGGGTACAATTTCCATTACCGCCTTCTAAAGTGATTTTATTGATCATACTATAGTATGTTAAATTAATGTAGACTTATGGATAACTGTATCTGTTAATATCCATCTATTCAAAACATGGCAATCCAGACATATTTGCAAACTGGTTTATACCTGGTTTATTCCAATTTCTCTTTTATATATTTTATATAGATTGCAATTTTGCATACAACTGAGTCATGTTTTCTTATATGTTGTTCTCTTGCCTATATATATCATAAATAATTGCAGAATCAACTAATTTCACATTTCAACATTTACATTTATTTCTTGTTTCAGTATTTCAGAAGAATTTATTGCATTTCTTCAAGTCAAATCTGTGTTCTGATTTTCCTATTAAAAGCACCCCTCACTTCCTTGTTCCTTAGAGTATAGATGAGTGGATTGAGTGCAGGAGTGACCACAGTGTACATGACAGCAATGATCCTGTCCTCTTCCAGGGAGCTTCCTGAGGCAGGACTGATATAGATGTAGAGAACAGGAGCATAGAAAATAATAACAACCATGAAGTGAGAGGCACAAGTAGACAGTGCTTTGTGGAGCATGCTGCAAGAACGGGTCTTGAGAAACAGGTAGGTGATAATGTAGAAATAGGAGAGAAATGTCAGAAAGAAGAGGCCAATGGCAATGGTCCCCGTGAGAGTATTAAGCAGCCACCTGTTGAGTTCAGTGTTCCCACAAGCCAACTCCAATAATGGCTTAACATCACAGAAGAAATGATGAATATGGTTGGAACCACAAAAGTTCAAATGAGATGTCATTATGGAATGAAGCAGAGCGTGGAGAAAAGGAATGGCCCAAATGGTGACTGCCATCTGGATACAGACTTGACGATTCATGATGAAGGGATAGTGGAGTGGTTTGCAGATAGCCACGAAGCGATCAAATGCCATCACTGTCAGCAGCAAGGCCTCTGTACTACCCAGGAAGTGGAAGAAATGAAGCTGAGTTATGCATCCCAAGAAGGAAATTGCTTTGTTGGTAGAGAGGAAGTTGCCCAGCATCTTCGGCACTGTCACGGTGGAGTAGCAGATATCTAGACATGCTAGGTTTCCCAGGAAAAAATACATAGGTGAGTGGAGTCTTGAATTCAAGATGACGATCATCAGGATGGCTCCATTCCCAGCCACATTGACAAAGTACATGGTAAGGAATATGGCAAAGAGAACAGGGTTCAATTCTTGTATGTCTGTCACTCCCAAGAGGAGAAATTCAGTGACTAAGGTTTGATTCAGTAACACTTAAAGGAAAAGAGAGGATAGTTTGTGGAACACTAACCTCCAGGTCCATTAGTCAGTCTTTCTAGGCAATACTTTTCTTGCCAACACAAACATCGTTTGTGAGAATGATTTTCTATAACCTCACAAAGATATTGTGAAGCTCTTATACAATATTTGTCTGTCGATCCATTAAATATTAAGTATATTTCTGCTGTATGTTCCTATCCAGACATCTTTTAATTTATTATATTTTTCCATTAACAATGTCTTCTGATTAAAGATTCAGAGCAGGTACCAACCTACCATTTTTCTAGCTGTGAGCATTTAAATTTTGATCCAACTTTCTTTTCACCCCATCTCTAACATGGAACACCTTTTAAAGTATCTCACCAGAGAGTCAATCTCTGAGACATAGGAACACTCTTGAAGAGCTTTAACATAAAGAAAATAGACAGAGGTGATTTTGTTTCAACCACAGAGTTTATAGGAAGTATAAACAGCTTTATCAAAACATAGTAAGTTCACCTCATCTTAAGAATATATACGGAGTTGCAACATCTTTGCACTTATTTGTTTCTTATTGATGATTGAGCCAGAAGATGTAAGGAACATCTTGAGCCAGATGAGGTAAGAAACATGACCATATTAATCTCAAGACTCTGACCAGACATGTGCATAACATGTTTCAGTGCTGTAGCAGATGATAGGCTTAGTGTCTTTTGATAATCTGAGCAAATAAGAACCTTACAGACTCCTAAGATGTTTCCAAATGTAGACAATGGTGACTCAAGCAGTCTCCTGCCTTAGCTTCTTGAGTGGTGGAGTTATAGTCATACTGCCATGCTGACCCCAAGACATTTTGCATTATAAATTGTACTTTATGACATTTATATTCTCCTGGTTATCCTGAGACTAAAGGAAACCTTTTGCTGATCCCAAAATATTTGAAAAAGAGGACCTCTGCCAGTGAGTACCCAGCAGTCCTTCTGTCATTTCATCAGGAGGAACTGCCAATGCCTACGGCTTTAGTATCTTTGAAATCTTGTCTTCTCTGCTACCTACTTAAACTTCCTCTTCAGATATTGAGGAGGTATAATTGCCTTTCTTCTAGCTCCACTAATGGTACCATGGTAGGTAACACTTTTGTGTTTTATCATCTCAAAAGTCAGGCTGCCTTAAATCAACCAACTCCTAAGTTACCAAAAATGTTCAGCTCTCCTCATTTTAAGACTGTTTCTTCTCTATGAAATTAACTCCTAGCATTCCTTCCTACCAAATAAAGTCTTATTTTCATCTAAAGAAATGAATAATTTTCATTTTACTAACATAATCATACTAGCAGTTTTTTCAATAAATGTCAAAATACTTGAATTATGAATAAATTCATTGCAAAAGGTTTCACTCTAATTGTACAATCATCACTTACTAAAAGACAAGTAACTTTTTTAAAACTTGCTTTTCTCTTCATTATTAGCAAAATACCTGAGTTTCCTCCCTGAGATACACTCGTTGGAGCAGACATAGCTATGAGAAGTAGCTTCCTGTGGTTCCTTTCATTTAAAGATGTGCTTGATTCACTCTGTGTACAGAAGAGAAGAACTGGAATCAGAGTTCAGAAGGCCCATGTTGCTGGGAGCCACTGAGAGAATCTGCAGGCCACACTAGAGTTGGACAGATGCTGACACTGGGGTGGTTCCTACAAAAGAGAAATCTCTCAAGGTGTGAGAAATCTTACAATTTGTTCATCTAAAGAAACAAAATTAATGAAGTGGAGAAAACTTATAAGGGTCCCAAGGGATTCTATGCTTTATAGTAGGAAGACAGTCTGAGAAATGATGTAATCACTGGTGTAATTCTCCGAAGGGTTGCCTTCAAATAACTCAGGGGTGTTTCTTTGATAGTCATGATTATTTTGTCTGTTTATAAATGCAAAAGACATTCTTGTTAAAAATTCAATTCTAGTGACCAAGATGACTTATGAATCTTTGAACCCAAAAACAAAACAGTTCTGAAAAATATATATCAAAAACCTATTTACAAAAAACCCTATTTACCTAATTCTTAAGGAAAAATAGCAATTGGAATGGTCAATACCAATGATTTTGTTCAGCACTTCCAATATTTGGGGATTTCAGGTTGGATTTAGAGAGGATTAAAGTAACAACAATGATAACTTGACATGAGATGTGATAATTCTGTACAAAAACTAAAGAACCTTCACAGTCCTCGCACAGAGAGAAGACACCATCTCAATACAGGGAACTAATACCTGAACCCCCAGGTACTGATATTTAATGTTGCAAACAGACAGACTACCTCCTAAAGAACAGAAAATATAAGTAACTTCCAAGTTTACTCCTAATGCATTATCTTACCTGGTTGATTATCCAGACCAAAAGCAACAAAGATTCTCAGGTTTATGTACACAAAGTGCACAGATTGTAAAATATTTGAAGTGACAGCTCATGTTGTGGCTCTAGCCTACATTTCCTCTCTCGAAACCCCTCTGCCACCTACAGTTTTGCCAGTGTTTTAATAACACAGATCGGCAGACATAACAACCCCCAGGGAACATGTCCCTGGTGCTGAGTAGAATGGATATGAAAATAAACAGGGTACTTTTCCCAACTTATGAAAGAAAGGCATAAGCTAGAGCAATTCCTCTGTGGTTCTCCATTTGTCACAAGCTACATGGCCATCTGCCTTATGAGGGCTATCAACCAAGCCCCCAGCTTGGCTTACTGTTTTGTGGACACCATCTAGAAATTTTCAGTAATACTTTTAGCATGGGGCCCTTCATATTTATTTTCCTTTAGTCCTACAAATTTTGTAACTTCTCTAAACATTAACAATTTTATGTTTGCTATGTTAAAGAGCATAGCCTATAATGTATACACATATCCATACAAACAGCTGTGAGAATAGGTGCAGCATAATATTTAGAAAGGAAGTCAAGAAAGGGTTAGGTAGTTTCAGAGGGTTAGTCCATTATCATCATGGTGGGGAGCATGACAGCATGCAAGAAAACATGGTGCCACATCTTGATATGAATGCAGCAAAAGATGATCTATGAGTCACACTGAGCAAAGCTTGAATAAAAAAGACCTTAAAACCTACCCCCACAGTGATGTACTTCCTCCAACAAGGCCACATGTACTCCAACAAGCCACACATCCTAATAGTGCCACTCCCTATTAGATTATGGGGACCAATTACATTCAAACTACCACATTCCACTCTGTGGCCCTCATAAGCTTGTAACAGTATCATAATATAAAATTCACTTAGTCCAACTTCAAAGGTCCCTATAGTCTGTAACAATCTCAACAATGTTTTAAAGTCCAAAGTTCAGTCTCTTCCAAAATTCATGCAGTCTCTTAACTGTAGTCCCCTATAAAATCAAAATAAAAAAACAGATTACTGGCCAGGCGGTGGTGGCACACGCCTTTAATCCCAGCACTCGGGAGGCAGAGGCAGGCGGATCTCTGTGAGTTCAAGGCCGGGCTGGACCGATAGCCTCTAAAACAACACAGAGAAACCCTGTCTCGTAAAAACCAAAAAAATAAAAAAACAGATTACATACTTTCAATATATAATGGCACAATATGCATTACCATTCCAAATTGTAGGGAAGGGATCATGAGGAAATACTGGACCAAATCAATACTGAAAGCCAGATGGGCAAACTCCAAATTCTGCATCTTCCCCATGTCTGATGTCAAAATGCTCTTCAGATCTCCAACACCCTGCAGCTTTGTTAACTGCAACACACTTCTTTATCTTGGGCTGGTTCTACTCCCTGTTAGCAGCTCTCCTTAACCAGTATCTCATAGTTCTGGCATCTCCAACATCTTGGGGTCTCCAAGGTAATCCAGGCTTCACTGTTACAACTACACACAATGGCCTCTCTAGGCCTATATTCAAGAATACCCCTGACACATGCTTGGCCTCAGTGACTTTCCTTAGACTGGAGGACAAATTCCATAGCCCTTTTCTTCTATCCTTAACTCTAAATCCAGAGCCAGTGGCTGAAGTTGCCAAGTCCTGTTGCTTAGTGGGGCTGGAACATGGCCCCTTCATTCAATTACATCTTCATCAGCTTTCCATTTTTGATTGCTACCTTCACTGCTTCAGCTTAACTATCCTTGAACTTCCTCTATAGAGCAGGCTGGACTCAAATTCAGAGATCCCCCAGCCTCTACCTCTAGAGTGTTGGTATTAAAGGTGTGCACCACCACTGCTGGTTCTAAGGTTTTCTTTAGTTCCTTTTCACAAGTTAGAAATTTATCCGGGTGAGACCTTGCTCTGAGCTCACTATTCCCTTTATTCCATTTCTTAATCTGTTTATCTCCTTGAACAAGGGACTTAGCTCCATTCTTGTTCCCAGTGTTCTTTTTAGCCTCAAAATTTATTTTGTGATTTGTCCTGCTCAGCTTGCTCCTTTTTATTATAAATCTTCATCTGAGTTATTACTAATAACCACACAATAGAGTCTTTACTAGGTTGTTTTGAGATTTCCTCTGCTGACAGAATTAATCCAAAACTCTTTACTTTAGCCTCAAGCAGACTTTGGACAATGCTAAAAGGCAGTCACTTTCTCCACCAAAATATCACAAGAATGATCTTTAGGAAATACACTAAAATTCTCCTCTGAAACATCTTGAGTGAAACAACCCACAGTTCAAATAACTCTTAGCACCACTGTCTTCCATGATGGTTCTTTGAGAAAGTCAACAATATAGACAAACCCTCCCAACTAACTGAAAGATAGAAAGAGAATATTCAAATTAACAAAATCAGAATAAAAATGGGATCATAACAACAGAGACTGAGGAAATTCAGAGAATCATGAGGATATACTTTCAAAATTTGTACTCCATCAAATGGGAAATCGAAAAGAAATGGATAATTTTCTCCATAGGTACCACTTACTAAAGTTAAATCAAGACCAGATGAACAATTTAAGTAGACCTATAACCCATAAGGAAATAGAGACAGTCATTAAAATTCTCCCAACCAAAAAGAAGCTCAGGGCCAGATGGTTTTAACACAGAATTCTACCAAACTATCAAAGAGTTAATGCCAGTATTCCTCAAACTATTCCACAAAACAGAAACAAAAGGAAAACTGCCTGTTGCAGGATATTTGGTCACACTGTGAACTCTGAGATTGTGTTATTTACTGGAAAAATCTGTTCCAAATTGTGGTATGCCTCAGCCCTATGGACATAGATGCAAAAATACTCAACAAAATACCTGCAAACTGATTCCAAGAACATATCTAAAAGATCATCCAGTGGAACCTGCATTTATCCCTAGTGCATGAATGGGCTTTGGGAGCTCATTCCCTATGGAGGGTTACTCTCTCAGCCCAGATACATAGAGGAGGACCTAGGCCCTGCTCCAAATAAAGTGCCAGGCTTTGATGATTCCTCATGGGAGGCCTCGGCCTCCCTGGGGAGTGGATGGGGTTGGTATGGGGGGGTTAGTGAGGACCATGGGAGGATGGGAGGATGGGATTGTTAGTAAAATAAGATTATTTTAATTTAAATAAAAATGTATTTTAAAAAAAGATCACACACCCAATCCAGTAGACTTCATCACAGAGATGCAGAGGAGGTTCAATACACAAAAAATATGAAATATAGTCCACTTGTAAACTTAAATTTAAAAACACAAACCATGTCATTGGATGCTAAAAAAGCCTTTGACAAATATCCAATGCCCCTTCATAATAAAAATCCTGGCAAGATTAGGAATATAAGGGACATAGCTAAACATTTAAGGGCAATTTACAGCAAGCTTACAGCCAATATCAAATTAAAGGAGGATAAATTCAAAGAGTTATCACTAAATCAGGAACAAGATTGTCCCATTCTCTCCATACCTATTCAGTATAGTATTTTGAAGACTTAGCTAGAACAATAAGGTAACTGAAGAAGATCAAGGGGATACAAATTGGAAAGAAAGAAGGCAAAAGTGTCATTATTCACAGATGACATGATGGTATAGATAAGTGACCCTAAAAATTCCACCCGAGAATTCCAACAGCTGGTAATCTGCTTCAGCAAAGAACTGAGTACAAGATTAACTCAAAATAATCAAATCAGTAGACCTTCTATATACAAATGCAAATGGACTGAGAAAGAAATCAGGGAAACAACACCTTTCACAATAGCCACAAATAATATAAAATATCTTGGAGTAACTCTAAGCAAGAAAGTGAAAGACTTGTATGACAAGAACTTCAAGTCTTTGAAAAAAGAAATTGAAGAAAATATCAGAAGACGGAAAGATTTCCCATGCTCATGGATGGTTAGGATTAACATAGTAAAAATGGCCACCCTCCCAAAAGCAATGTACATATTCAATGCAATTTCCATCAAAATTACAATTCTTCACATATCTTGAAAGGATAATTCTCAATTTCATGCAGAAAACAGAAAAACCAGGGTGGCTAAAACAATCCTGAACAATAAAAGAACTGACAGATGCATCACCATTCCTGATTTTAAGTTGTACTACAAAGCTATAGTAAGAAAAAAACTGCATGGTATTGGAATGAAATAGACAGATTGATCAATAAACTAAAATTGAAGACCCCAACATAGATCTGCACACTTATGAACACCTGAAGTAAAGAAGCCAGAAATACACACTAGAGAAAGACAGCATCTTCACCAAATGTTGCTGGTTAAACTGGATGGCTGCATGTAGAAAAATACAAATAGAGCCATGCTTACCACCCTGCACAGAACTCAAGTCCAAGTGGAGTAAAGACCTCAACATAAAACCATAAACACGGAACCTGGTAGAAGAAAAAGTAGGGATAACCCTGAATGCACTGGCACAGGAGAAGACTTTCTAAACAGAACACCAATAGTTCAGGCACTAATATCAGCAATTAATAAGTGGGACTTTCATGAAACTGAAAAGCTTCTGTAAAGCAAAGGATAGTGTCATTCAAAGTCACAGCCTATGGAATGGGAAAAGATTTTCACCAACTCCACATCTGGCAGAGGGCTAATATCCAAAATATATAAAGAACTCAAGAAACTATATCAAAACCCCCAAAGATCTAATTTTAAAATGAGATACAGATCTAAACAGAATACCCAATAGAGGAACCTCAAATGGTTGAGAAATACTTAAAAATGTTCAACATCCTTAGCCATCAGGGAAATTAAATTCAAAATTGCTTTGGGATTCCATCTTATACTTGTCAGAATGGCTAAGGTCAATAACCCAAGTGACATTTCATGATGGCATTAATTTTTAGCAAATGAAAACACTCCTCCATTGCTGGTGGGAGTGCAAACTTGTACAACCACTAGGGAAATTGATATGGTGATTCCTGAGAAAACCAGGAATCAGTTACTTCAAGATTCAGTTACCCATATACCCAAAGGATGTTCTACTGTACCTCAAGGACACTTGTTCAGCCATGTCATTGCTGTTCTATTAATAATATATAAAAATTATAAACAACATAGATGTCCCTCAACAGAAGAATGGGTAAAGAAAACGTGGTATATTTACACAATGGAGCATTATTCACCTGTGTCATGAAATTTGAAGGCAAATGGATGGAACTAGAAAAGAAAATCATTCTGTGTTGGGGAAGTCCTGTTATTTGCCTGTGCATTTGTCAATAAAGTACTGTCTGGCCAATAGGGAATCTAGATAGGAGGGACTAGGAGTCCAGGAGGACTCTGGGAAGGAGAAACACAAGAGAGTTCGAGATGTAACCGCATGGGTACGAAGCCTGGAACTATTCTCCGGTAAGAGACATACTTAGATTAATGATTATGGGGTAATTCCTTAAAGAAGAGCTAGCCAGTAAGAGACAAGCAAGGCCAACAGCTTCATAATTAATACAGCGTCTTGTGTGTTTATTTGGGGACTACATCACGGGAGAGCCCAGGCGGCTGGCGGGGGATATACCAAAGTGGCTAGCAAAGGAAAAGCTTCTCTTAACAATTCTGTGTGAAGTAACACAGACCCAGAAAGGTAAATATGGTGTGTACTCACTGATATGCGGATATTAGCCATTAAATAAGTAATAACCAATGTACATCCACAGATCCAGAAAGCTTAAGTATAGAGGAAGGGATTATGGGAACACATGGATCTCTCTGTGAGAGAGAAACAGAATAGATTGTGTGGGTGGATTGTGGGTGGGTAGGAATGGGAACTGGAGGAACAAGTTGGGAGCCAGAAGGGTGATAGTGTTGAGGAAGGAAATGTGAGGGGAGACAGCTTGGATTGAGGGACATTTGAGGAGTGATATGGAAGCCTAGTACAATGGAAACTTCCAAAAATACATGAAGGCAATCCTAATGAGGTCTCCTAATAATGGGGAAGACAGAGTTCCAACTGTCCATCTTTTGCCACCAAATGGTGGTTCTAATAGTTACAATCAATTGAGTTGTTGGCCAAGGGAGTCCCATGGAAATCCCCAGACTATTACTAAGACAATGAGTTGCTCTCCACAAACTGACATCAGGGCCACATTACCAAGGACAATAGTCACACAATTCATTGGACATTGAGAGGTCCAATTGGTACCTGAATGGAACCTTCACCCCATGTTCTAGTGTCTTTGGTACAGAAAGGTACTCTGCAAGCTACCAAAAGAAAAACAAGAACACCAAACCAGCCACAAAACCTTTGACCTACAATCTGTCTTGCCTGCAGGATAT